ATATTAGCAAACTGAGTATTGTGATGCATCAAAAAAATCATACACCATGATCGAGTGGGATTTAATCCACAAATGAAAGTTTAGTACATTTGCAAATCAGTAAATGTCATTTACCATGTAAACAAAATGAAGGATAAACATCATGTGATCATATCCATAGATTCAGAAAAGCATTGATAAAATCCAGCACCTATTTATCTTATCAAAACTCTCAGCAAAGTGGAAATAGAGGAAACATACCTAAACATAATAAAAGAAATACATGAGAAACCCATGCCAGCATCATATTCAACATGAACATACTCATGCTCAAGATCAAGAACAAGACAAGGATGCGTGCTTTTACCTCTCTTATTCAACATAGTACTGGAAGTCCAGCAATCAAACAAGAAGAAGAAATAAAAGGCATCCAAATTGGAAAAGAAGAAGTAAAGCTGTCTTTATTTGCACATGACATGACACTGTACATAGAGAATGCCAAATATTCCACCAAAAAATACTGGAACTGATAAATGAATTCAGCAAAGTAGCAGGATACAAAATTAATATCCAGAAATAAGTTGCATTTTTATATGCCATTAATGAACTAAAAAGGAAATTAAGAAAACAATCCCTTTCATAACTGCTTCCCCCAAAATAAAATACCTAGGAATAAACCCAACAAAAGGATATAAATGACCTGTACTTGGAAAATTGTAAGACACTGAAGAAAGAAACTGAAAAGGATACAAATAAGGGGAAGCACATACATGATCATGGATAGGAAGAATTAACATCATTCTAATGTCCATACTACCCAAAGCAATGTATAGATTCAACAGAATTCCTATCAAGATTCCAATGACATAGTCCACAGAACCAGAACATGTTGAGGTCTGCCTTGCCTGGTCTCAGGAAGCTGTAACCCCTGTGACTTAGGCTAAGTGAGAGACCTCTGAGCCAGGAGCCACTAAAGAGACAAAACTTATTTCCCTGGCATGAATGCTGCCTGCCTGGCCTCCAATGCTTGATCAGTTAGCCAATGACGGGTAAGATTTCTCATGGGGGGAATTGCCTAAGACAGGCATGATCACATGGAGGCCTCAGGGAAGAGACTTAGGGCTGTGGAAATGAAGGAGTGATGGACATTAACCCCTGCCCCTCGGCTTTGTCAAAGCCTGAGTCCTTGTTTTCAGTTGTGAGAAATCCAAGCTTCCTGGCTGCCTTTGTCTCCTCTGCCCGACTCAGGCCTGCAGAAATAACAGGGGCAGTACAATCCAGACCAGAGTCGGCAGACCCCCAGGGTAATCAGGCCTGGGACATAGAATATGCAAGATTCTGTGAGATCTGCTTGCTGAAGGATGCTATTGAATTAGAATATGAAGGCATAGGCAGGAAACGAAACTAGCCTTTTAGGTCCTGTAGTCTTTTTAAGTGATAAAACACAAACTGCCAGTCCAGAATCCCAGCGGGAGATCTGTCAGACCCTTTGAAAACTACCTATTCCTTTTGATCTTCCCTGCCAGACTGTAATCCACAAACTGTGTCTGTATTCTTAATAAAAGCCTACTCAGGCGGGGAGGCGGGGCATTCTCCACTAGAGAGAGTGGCCGTTTTGTCCCTATTTCCCCATAGGACACAGTTGTCTCTGTGTATGTTTTTCTCATGTTTCAACAAGCATCCGCACCAGGGATGGATACTGCTGGCCAGTATCCTCCTCAAGAACAAATACTTCAAAAATTCATACAGAACCACAAAAGGCCCCGTGTGGCAAGAGCAATCCTGTGAAAGAAGGACAAAGTTGGAGGAATCACACTACCTAATATCAACCAAAGTATAAAGCCATAGTAATCAAAACAGCCTGGCATAAAAACAAATACATAGACCAACAGATGAGAATATAGAGCCCAGAAATAACCCATGACTTTATAGTCAATGAATATGAAACAGAGAAGCAAGCACATTCAATGGAATAAATACAGTTTGTTCAATAACTGTTGCTGACAAAATTGGACACATGTGCAGAAAAATGAAACTAGAGCACCTTCTTACACCACACACAAAAATAAATTCAAAATGGGTCAAAGACATAAATGCTAGACTCAAAACCATAAAAATCCTAGAGAAAAACATAGGCAGCAAAATTACAGACATTGCTCATAGAAAATTTTTACTGGATATATCTCTCCTGGCAAGGGCAACAACGAAAAAAATAAACAAATGGAACTACATCAAACTAAAAACTTTTTGCACAGCAAAGGAAATCATCAACAAAATAAAAAGGCAACCCACAGAATGGGGGAACATATTTCCCAATACATCTGAAAAGGAATGAATATCCAAAATTAAAAAGTCTTAAAAAACTCAACACCAGAAATCTAATAACCCAATTTAAAAAATGGGCAAAGGACCTGAATAGCCACTTCTCCAAAGAGGACATACAGATGACCAATAGACATGTGAAAGGATGCTTAATATCACAAATATCAGAGAAATGCAAATTAAAACCACAATGAGATACTACTTCACACCTATCAGAATTGCTACCATCAATAAATCAACAAACAACAAGTACTGGAGGGGATGATAGAAGGGGGAACACTTTTGTACTGGTGGTGAGAATACAGACTGGTGCAGCCACTGTGGAATGCGGCATGAAGATATCTCAAAAAATAAAAAATGGATCTGCCTTTTGACTCAGCGATCCCACTTTTGGTAATACATCTGTAGGAACCCAAAATATTAATTCAAAAGAACATAAGCACCCCTATGTTCATTGCAACATTATTTACAATTGCCAAGATATGGAAGTGTCCATCAATAGAAGAGTGGATAAAACAACTATGGGACGTTTACACAATGGAATTCTTGGCCACCGAAAAGAAGAAAATTTTACCTTTTGCAACAGTATGGGTGGACCTAGAAAACATTATGCTAAGTGAAATAAGTCAGAGAAAGATAAATACTGTATGATTTCACTCACATTTGGAATCTAACATCAAGCAAAATAGAGACAGACTCACAGATGGAAAGCAGTTGACAGGTAGTGGGGTGAAGAGATTGAGCAAATAGGAAAAGGACTCATGGACATGGACAACAGTGTGGTAATTGCTGGGGACAGGGGAGTATAAGGGGGCTAAATGGTAATGGAAAAAATCAATAAAAGTTACATAAAAATGTGTTAAAAATAAAAATATAGGACAATTTAAAAAGTAATCTATAATGCATACAACTATTGCAAAATAAAATAATTAATACACAGATATAAACTACATAGTAATATATATCAATATTATATGACTAGCTTTACAGGAATCAACAGAGTATCATATTGATTGAAATCACACAGACAATTATACATAATGATTCTATTGTGCACCTTTTCTTAGTACCTTTTTGCCTCTGAACTACAACAAATAATACAAAAAACTAAATTAAATGCAACATAAAGATTAAAGAAAAGTAATGTTTATCTATTGATATTTTATTTCCCGCATTTATGGAACATGCTGCTAGAGAATAGAGGCAGTTTAAATATTATAGAAAATAAAATCCAACTTTGGTTGGATATTTTATATTATGCATGTGACTTAGTTGTTCTTATTAAAATCTAAATATGAACTTTTTCTATCTCTGAAAGATACAAACTGAGTAAAAGTGAAATATCTAAGCTTCTAAATGCTGTAGAAGGATTATCATTACTATTGGTAGAACTACATGAGCACTCTGTAAATCTCACTACAGAACTATTACAAATAATAAACTGCTGATAGCATTAAATACTATTACTATAACGCTGTTACTACCAACCATTTCAATCAACAGTACCTTAACTACCAAACATGCTTGAAGATAAGTAGATTCACCTTGTGAAGGCCTTATAATTAAAGAAGTTTTCTACAGAGATTGTTTTGTTGAACTTTAGAAAATTATGTACTCATCTCTTCATAATAAACCTTTACTGAAGTTAGTTGTTTATTGATTCCATATGGCATGGTCAACCAGACCAGTTTAATGTTTAGACCAACTCTTTAATAAATATTTAAAATATGCATAATTAAGCCCTGGCTGGTGTAGCTCAGTGGATTGAGCGCGGGCTGCGAACCAAAGTGTCGCAGGTTCAATTCCCAGTCACGGTACATGCCTGGGTTGCAGGCCATGACCCCCAGCAACCGCACATTGATGTTTCTCTCCCTCTCTCTCTCTCTCTCTCTCTCCCTCCCTTCCCTCTCTAAAAATAAATAAAATCTAAAAAAAAATAAATAAATAAAATAAAATAAAATAAAATATGCATAATTAGTGAAATTAACTATTGAAAACATTCTATAATTTTTGCCCTGTCAAATGCAGTCAAATGTTTCACCAGTGTATGGTCCATGAACTTTATAAATCTGTATGTATAATTGAACATTTGACTATTACATCTGTAAAATTTTTTCACTTTGAATGTCTAATTCATAAATAGACATGAATGTCTAATTAATAAATAGACATGAATGTCTAACTCTTAAAAGCTGGTAATATTTTGCATTCCCTATTTTTAGAACAAGTTGACACAAATAATCTTGTAAAAACTTAATGGTATATATTTTAGTTTTAAAGATTTTTTTTCATTCTGAACCAATATGTTTCTCATGTATAAAACACATCTATCCCCAAATGAGTATTTTCTATGTATCAGGACATCTAGGAAAGAGAGGAGGTAGAATTTTTTTAATTCCAATTGATTATAACAGAATCAAAGAGTGTTATTATACACCATTGAGATAGAATAGATAATGTATGTTTTGGCATTCATATAGAATGAAGGGTGGGATGATAATTGTTTTTAATAATGTAGGCCTGAAACCTTTTTCCTCCTGTTTTGATGCTGACACAAAATATATTTCTCACTGATACAATTTTTAGTAAAAATTACTTTCTAACTTTTTCTTGGATTTTTAAAACACCATTACCTAAAATTTTATTTAGCCTAAGAAGCCAAGATGTTTAATACTGATTTCTTCATTTCTGCCTTGCAGGAGAGGTTATGCATCAGAGGTAAGGGCATTATGGTGTTATGTTATATCAAGGACTGATTTATATCTTTTTCAAAACTAGTGTGCTTTACAAAATTTATAAGTATGGTATACTATTTCCTTTCATTTAAGGTGAATGAAAATCAACTGCTCACCTTTTCAAGGACACATTTATTTTTTCCTGAATTTCTATTAACACAGTATTATGAGATTACCCCCCCCCAATTTTTTTTTCTGTAAATCTAATTTGGAAACTAGCAATGACTTGACTTGAATTTTGTTCTTATTACCAGTCCAAAGCTCCATTCTATCACATTAAAGTTTGAGATCTTAGAGAATTTTTTTAAAAAACAACCATAAGAAAGCTCTGGTTTCTCCACTGTGTTATTTGACTCTTAGTCCACAGTGAAGATACTGAGCATTCAGGCCAAGAGTATTTAGCTAGCCTCACTGTAAGTGGCACTATCAGTGAAGTCACTGAGAATTTAGTATGTGCAGTTTAGCATACAGTTTCTCAGTTAAAAGAATGAAATAAGCATATGATCTGATTGGCTTATACTTTAGAAAATGTGAGTTCTAAATTATTTGAAAATTAAGGTGAGTGACTTTAAAAGTAATTCCTTTGGGGGGGTAATTAATAACTAACATTGAATCAGAATACCTCTAACTTAAACTTCCCACGATTTTAAATGGATACCTTAAGTAGACTCACTAATAACTCTATCATGGAAAATCTGTGTGTTCAGTCAAGTAGTTGTTCTGCTAGCCATTTCAAACACTTGGTTCATTGGTGGAAGTATCTCTCAGACGTTCTCTGCCCACTTTCTCACTGCTCACTTTAAGATTCATGTTGTGTATCTATTTCTCCCAAACTTTGAATTGCAAATCCTGTTCCCTTCTCATTAAAGTATAAATTATTCTGAAACAGGCCAATAGTAACTGTGTTTTTCTTTAAATAGGTATGGGTAAAATGGAGAGAGAGTAGGAAGTGATTCCTGCAAACTCTGAGGGAGAACAATTTCTCTAATCACAAAAGAATTTCGGAAACATGCTTAATGCTTGAGTGCAGGCAATCCACATCTTGGTAAAAAAGAAAAATAGGAAGCATGTCTTTAACATGATGATGAATATATTTCTATCATATCATTACTTTGTGTGCTCCCCCCTTCTTCCCAGTGAACCTGATTACATTTAACGTGATTGGGGAGAAAGAAAGAGGGGCAATTCAAAATGAGGTTAAGTGTGTTAAGAACTGTGTGACACTTAAAGTGCTTTTAGAAACATGAATGACTGTACTGTGAAGCTCAAACCAAGAAAATTGTGGATTTTTATTTAAAGAAGTTAACTTTGATGTTAATTAAAACAATGTTGAAATTAAAACAAATTATCTATTAATTTATGCTCCAACATAAATAGTCAAAATATCATTTAATGGTGTTGGTAGCCATCACATGAAAAACGAATTATGGTCCCAAGGTAACCAGATTTAAGGTATCACCTTTTTTTCTCTCTTTTCAGTCATAATCTACTTTTTCCATCTGAATTATTTTCTAAATCTTTTTCTATTTTAATTTCCTTTGGCAGCAACAACAACTGCTGAGGCCCTCTCTTCTTAAACCAGAGGTATCAATTTCTTTCTCTTCTCAACCTCACTGTCTTCACAGTACTTTATGTGGCATTAATGTCCATCATATGTGTAGGCAGAGTGGGTGGCTGCTGATGTGGCATAATTTTATGAGAGCAAAAAGGTTGTTTTAAATTAAAATAAATAAATGCATAAATATGCAAGCAAATCTCCTCCTTACTGCTTGTTGGTGGCAAAATTGCTGTTGTTTTCTTCTTCATTCTCTGGAAATTAGACAAATAAGAATTTTGGTCCTATTAAAAGCAAGCTCTCATTGAATGAAGTAATCAGGGACCTAATCAGTCACTTCTCATAGAACTATTCCTGAGATCAGATTTAGATTAGGCAAAGTTTGAAGAAAGAACGCAGACACCTGTGCTGAAATAACAAAAGGTAAAAATTGATTATGATTCACAGTCTTCAATCATTGCATGCCATTCAAATACTGCCTTTGAGCATGTGTCTATTTCATAATGCCTGTCATTTTCTTCTGCAATGAGAAAAAAGAGATGCATGGACATAAATGCATATTATTTACATTTATTTTCCTTTGATACTGCTCAAGTTTTAGTAAATAAAAAGTAATGTTATGTAAATATATCTCCTTTGGCAAATTTAGTATTTTATAAGTACTACTTTAAAAAAATTATTCAATTTTCTTGCCCTGGCCGGGTGGCTCCTTTGGTTAGATGTGGTCCCATGCCCAAAAGGTTGTAGGTTCAGTCTCCAGTCAGGATGCATGCCTAGGTTGGGGGTTCGATACCTGGATTTAAAAAATTATTCCATTTTCTTAACAAAAGTATCTTCACTTTGCTAAAGAGAGGAGTTTTGTGGTTAAAAATTTACTTCCCCAAATTTGGAAGTTTTGTGGTAGGAATATTCAACTCATCATATTTTGCCAAGTATAGTGCATACATTTTGCCCGAATTTTTGAGGGAAAAATAAGGATACACATTATACCTGGATAGTACCTGAAATACCTTGTATCTATTCTTGTGTTTTGTAATTACTTGTTACATAAAATTTTTTGTACAATAATGTGATAAAAATTATTGCCAAAATCCCTTTATAATATAAAAACAAGTATTTAAATATAAATTTAAAAACTGCATTAAAAAATTAAAACAAAAAATATTTTCCTGAAAGTTTGGTCAAAAAATGTGGGTGTGCATTATATATGGCAATATACAGTATATAAATTTTTAGTAAAAATTTCCATGGAGACATCTCCAAAGATTACTGGATCAGATAACTCAGTGTTACAATCCAAATGCCAATTACTGGCTGCAAGACTTTAATCAAGATATGCACCCTCAAGATGAACATCAATTTCATCTTCTATAAAATGGTTGCAGTAAAATTTTAAATAATAGCTCTCAGCTCACTAGGGAGAAATTCAGTAAATGGTAGTTATTATTAAGGGTTTTTTTGTTTGTTTCTTTACATCAGCATAAATGTTTATATTTTGGTCAATAAGATAAGCTAATTCTATGGCTTCTCTATGTGAAATTCTCTTATTTTAGCAAAAATGAATTTTAAAAATAACATTCAGTATTTTATCAAGCCATAAAATCACTTTTTAGTGTGCTATTTAGCATACTTTTCTAAATGCAGGATCACCTGATAAGGGTAACAAGGACTGTGTGGAGCATTTCAGTGTCCCCTTCCAGTTGACTTAGAAATCTTAATTGTCACCAGGTCCATCCTCATTTTTTTTTCTGAAAAGGTGATACTCTGCCCTTCAGTAATGAGTGGCATAAGACTCCCAGGGGAACCTTTCAGATTATTCCCTTCTACAGGCACCTATTCCTTCTTTTCATATTGGATCACAGAGTGGCTAATTGAATCAAGGGCTAAGTTTCCTGGGTTTCTTCCTAGTTACTTCTGTTCTTCTATTTATTTTCTTAAAGACATCTTATGACATATATATTGTAGCTAGCAAGAGCTGAGATTTATAGTCCCTTTAAGAAAAAAAGTGTGTGCTTAAAACAATTATTTGATTCTAACTTTTAAAATCTGCTATTCACTCAGTTGCATTAAGTTTACATAAATACTTGTTTTTAATTATTGCTAAAAGTTACTAAAAATCAATTTCAAAATCACCCTAATTATAAAATCATTGTAATTATAAAAACATCTATCTTAAGATCTCTTCTCTTAACAAATGTTGGAGTGTATATCAATATTGCTAGCTATAAGCACGATATTGTACAGTAGGTCTCTAGAACTTTTTCATCTTTTTTAATGGAAATTTTATACCTGTTGAAGAGCAGCTCCTGTTTTCCCTTCTCTCCACGCCTGGCAATGATCACTCTATCTGCTTCTATGAGTTTGACTATTTCAGATACCTCATGTAAATGGAATTATGCTGCTTCTGTCTTTATATGATTGGCTTTTTCCACTTAACGTAATGTTTTCAAATTTTATCCATGGTGTTGCATATGGTAGATATCCCATGTTTTTAAGGCTGAATAATATTCCATTTTATGTACATGCCACATTTTCTTTATCCATTCTTCCATTGATGAACACTTAGGTTTCAGCTTCAAAATCAGTTGGTGATCTTTTTTCAGTGTCCATATGTATTACATTAAACATGTATTAGCCAAGTAGTTTAAGAGTATTGGTTCTGAGGTCTATTTGCTTTACTTAAACCAGTAGAGCCCTGGCCAGGTGATTCAGTTGGTTGGAGCATCACTCCATTCACCAGAAGGCTGCCAGTTCAATCCTGGTCAGGGGTCACACCTAGGATGTAGGTTTGATCCTCAGTCAGGGAACGTACAAGAGGCAACCAATATATGTTTCTTACATGCCTCTCTCTCTCTCTCTCTCTCTCTCTCTCTCGCTCTCGCTCTCCCCTCTTCCTCTTTCTCTAAAATCAATTAAAAAATAACCTCAGTGAGGATTAAAATATTAGTAAAATAAAGATATAAATAAATCAGTATAATTACACTGGGTTTTAGACATTTCAAAAGTCTAAGTCTACCAATATTTTATATATACTTGTATATATGTATTTAGTTTGAATAACTTAAATTTAGACTTTACCTTTTCCCAATTTATTATTGTTCTTTCTCCACTTCATTTCTCATCCTCCCACCCACTTCCTATAGAGAACATTTTTTGTTGAAATTAAACTGCAATATAAAAGTATATAAATTATACTATATAGCTAGTTGTATATTTATAAAGTACACACACCCTTCTAGCTCACCAGAAGAGCCTTTCTAGGTCAACACTGATATTATTTCTCCTTTCTTTAATTTCTCACCTGGTCTCTTTACTTTTTCAAGCTAAATATTTTAATGTTATACATACATACATATATATTCAATTTCAGCTTCACTGAGTTATAATTGAAAAATAAAATTATAAGATATTTAATGTGTAATTAGTGGTGATTTGATACATGTATCCATTGGAAGAGTCCCCTCATCTTTACCTTTATTATGTGAGAACACTTAAATTCTATTCTTAAGAAAATTTCAGTTATACAGTATAGTGTTATCGGATATAGTCACCATGTTTTCCATTTGAACCACAGGCCTTATTTATCTTATAGCTAAAGTTTTTAACCTTTTATCAACTTCTCCCTATTTCCCACACCACCAGCCACTGACACTTCTCTATTCTGTTTCTATGAGTTTGACTTTTTATTCATTTATATATTTTTTAGATTCCACATACAAGTGATACCATACCATGCAGTATTTGTCTCTGTCTGGCTTGTCCATCTTAGCATAATCCCCTCGGGATCCATCCATGTTGTCATAAATGACAGGATTCCCTGTTTTCTCAAATGTAGATGTTCATTGTGCTGTGGCAGTATCAGAGTCAGTGAGATTTGTATGAATTGTGATTAATGCTAATTTAAAACTTCTCACCTGGCTCCTAAGGTACATATTAGCTTGTCTGTTTTTGACGTTTCTTTGAATAGATAAAACAGAATAATAAGTTTTATTTGTACTTGGCTCTTTTTGCGCAGCATTCTTGTTTTGGGAGGTTCATCTCTCTCGTTGTGTGATGTTGTGGTGTATTTACCTCATGGGCTTTTGCACTGGTTCCAGGTTTTGGCTGTTATGAGTGCTGTATTTTGGTGAGCTATTACAGGCATTTTGCTGAGTATACAAGCTAAACTATAATAAACTTCTGTGAAACAGAATTAACTATATTAAACTTCTGTGAAACTGCATATATTTGACTTTAGATTATTACCATCTTTCAAAAGATTTTACTAATTTACAATTTTTCTGGAAGAGTATGAGAGTTCCAGTGTTCCATGTCCCTGCCAAAACATGGTATTGATGACCACATTTTTTTAATTTTAGCTGTTCTAGTGGGTAAAAGGAAGTTATTTTAACATCAAAAATAGATTCCTTTGCTAATGGTTCACAAAGCATTTGTAAACCACAAAGTCATTAGAGAGTACATTAGTAGAGTTGAGGAACTGCAAACTTAAAATATATAGGGCAGTAATGCAAGTGAGCAGAGTTTATAAAATATAAAAACAAAAGAGCAGCTGAGAGATCCTATTGTGACTATGGGTATAGATGTAAAACACTGTGGTTGAGAACACAGTTGTAGCTAGTGGGGAAGGTGATTGCTATAAGGAGTAATACTACTAACTAAACTCATAAAATGATAATATAAGACCAATATTGTCATCTTTTTAAAAAAACAAATCAAAATCCAGATTTTTTATAGCATTTTCTGAATAAAATTTTGGCAACAAATTCAATTTTTAAAAAATGGTATTTGCCAAAGAGAGCACAACTGAAGGTTATTCAGGCTGTGAATTTTCATATTTTTCTAATGATATATTTATGTTCTCAGAGAAATATTTTCCCTGAATTATTGTCATATCTGGAACAACAGAATTAATTCTATACAAAATAGATAATTTTAGAAATAAAGTACCAACCCACTTTCCTATGGATACCTATAATTTTTCTTCCTTCTCTTTTCCTGCTTCATTGCAAAATTAATTTGGTTAACCTTTTCAGTTCAACTTACTTAAATGTTAAAATAGAATTTAAAAGGGAAATATAATGAAATAAAATTTAATTGTTAGTTAAAATTAGTTTCATATGTTTATCTCAGGAAAAACATCTTTTTAAAAGAGTAGAGCTCAAAAAATCGGTATTGTCTAGAATTTTGAACTGAAAACATAGAAAGGGCTTTGCTCTGACAAATTCCTTTGTTTTACAAAAAGAGAATAACATCCAAAAGTATGGATTTAATTAAATTTTATTAAACTCAGTATGTTTTAAAATGTAAACATCCTTGGAAAACATCACATGTTAATGTAATTTTATTACTGTATAAATGATTATTATCAGATCGTTTCTTAAGAATAACTTTTGATAAATAGAAATGTTCTGGGTACTAGAAAACTTAGCAGGAAAATGAAACAATTTGGTAAAGAGAACGCTTTAATTTTTCTCAAGGCTAAACTCTGTTTATAATGTGTTAAAAAAGAGTGAAATATTAACCGTCAGTTGATAGTTTTAAACTTATTCGAGAACAAGTGATAGGCTCAACTGTAACTTTAACAGATTTACCATTATAAAACATTTACCCTTTTACCCTTCATTTCTAATAACATAACTTTATTTTGTGTAAAGTAGTTACAGCCAGAAAAAAAATTTTGAATATGCTTAACTAACATTCATGATTAAAGTTACTTTGGCAGGAGTCTTTTGAAAGTCAATGAATTCCAGGTCTGGAAATCTGACTTTGAGCTGAAATGTGATAAAAATTTGTTTTCAAATGCAATTTCTCTCTTTGAACAATAGGAGTTATCCATGGAGTCTGGAATTGATCCTGGCCAGGAATATGGACAAGATTATTACAGTTATGAGCATGGGTACATCTTCAGATTTTTTTATCCAGTATCTTAATATTTTTATGAATGATAAAGTTTAAACAAATTATTATTACTATCATTTGTTTTACAAATGTAATTTTATTTGTTTCATCTTTGAAATAAGTAAAACATCCAGTTTTAGTTTCAGTCAAGTTTTAACCAGTTTTCTACAGTGAGTTCTGTTTTGATGTTTGTGCTGATATTGACTACAACTCTAAGAATGCAGTAAACATGATTGAAAATTATTTAAATGAGAAGAAATGTCAAACATATTTGCTCAATTCCTGATTCACCATTTTTATATGAAATGTTTAAGATTTTATTTAACCAGTCCCCTCAACATTTGTCCAAGAGAAATTAAGAAAACATACTGTAGAATTTAGTAATAAACATTTCTACACACATAAGTTAACTGCTTTCTAAAATTACAGTAGAGAAATGTAAAGACCACTACAAATCATGTTTGAAGTAGATTTTTACTGTGAATAGAGAATTTTTGTTCTGAATAAGCCATTATATACTTTTAGAAAGAATCGATTTTGTGTCCTAGATTCTTCAATTAATTAAGGAACAATATGCCTTTCTCTTCATTCTAGACTCACCCCAAAAATAAATCTGAAATAACTTGACTCTTTTTATTGTTATTCCAGGGTACCATTATGGCAAAAACCATTGGTCATTAGGTTGTAGTACTTACCTTATGGTTGTATAACTAGTTTACAAGGAACCTAATAGGTGAGGTATAAATATCTGTTGTTTGAATAATGAAGAAAAAGAAAAAAACAGAGATCAGTCATGGTAGAGTCTACCCAGACCACATAAAAAAATGTTTAAAGGTGTAAGTTTCTGTTACAGGTATGAAATGCCTCAATATGGAAGTCGCCGTCGCTTATTACCACCGGCTGGACAAGAGGAATATGGTGAGGTGGTTGGTGAAGCTGAGGAGGAATATGAGGAGGAAGAGGTAATTACTATAAGTTTCTTATGTAAGGTTAATAGTCCAAGAACAATTTGTTATCGCTATTTAATAGCAGGCTACAAAATTTTCCAAAAATCAGAAATTCTGTTTACTTAATACATGTTATCTATAGAAATATAATAATGCTGACAGTTTTCTTGTCTGTAGAAGGAAATTAATTTTTATGTAAGTTTAATTTATATCCTTCTGTAAAATGTTAGACACCTAGAATAAAGTTACAATAAAGTTATATTTTCTGAATTCCTAAATGTTTCCCCATAAAGTTAACATAATAATAAAACATTAAAAAAGTGTTTTGCAAAACATGGTTTACTTAAATTTTACATTGTCCCGCATACCTAAAAATTGTGAAAAAGTATAGTCTTCATCTTTCAGTTATGAGAATAATAACATATTACCACCAATATTTAATGAAATATTTATGTTTAAATTAGCATAAGTCATGTATATAAAGTTTGTATATTTTACCTAAAATATGCACTTGGGACATTTATTTAAATAAAACACATACACACAAAACAAAGAAATATCACTATAGCTTTATCCTCTTCAAAATTAAGAATAAAGTAAAATTTCACAAACTATTCAGATAAACTATCATAATTTCCTGATTATTTAAAATTTTGTTAAAGGAAATTACATAAAAATATTAAAATGGATGAATGAGAGAGGAAAGAAGTTATGATTAGTTGCTTCTCTCTCCTTTGATATAAGATGCAATATAAATGTGTAAGAAAAAATGAGAAAGCATTAGAATTTGGTGTCATTAATGCAAGCCAAAATGAAATAATTTATTTTTCTTGGTCATCCTCTGTGTATAAACAATGGGGATAAAAATCAGAGACTCGTGTGTTTACTTTATGAAATTAGTAATATAACTTGCATAAAGCTATTGGCCAGCAGATTCATTCCTGCTTAACTTATGTGGGAAAAGATCACACCATAACTAACCCCTGGCTCACAGTTCAATTGCCTTTTCATAATTTCCAGGAAAAGGAAAAGGAAATTAAAAAACCCAAAGTTGAAATTATAGAGCCTAGTGAGGAGGAAGTAGTTGTCACTATTGAAAAGCCACCAGAAGCTGAGCCTATACCCCCAACATGGAAGAGAGCCAGGATATTCCCAATGATTTTTAAGAAAGTTAGAGGACTAGCAGAGAGAAGCGGCATCGATCTTGAGGGTGAAGAGTGGCGGAGACGCCTTGAGGAAGAAGATAAAGATTACTTAAAACTAACTCTGGACCAAGAAGAAGAAGCTACAGAAAGCACCGTAGAATCTGAAGAGGAAACCTCCAGCGACTACACTGAATACAGCGAAGAAGAATCCGAGTTCAGTTATTCTGAAACAACGGAAGAGGAGTCTGAGTCGGAGACACCCTCCGAGGAGGAGGAAAGTTCTACCCCTGAATCAGAATCGGAATCCACGGAGTCAGAAGGAGAAAAAGCAAGGAAAAACATATTTTTCGCGAGGAGAAGGCCCGTTGTTGAAGAGGTCCAGGAAGTCAAAGGTAAAAAACGGGAGCAGCCTGAAGCACCAGAAGAGGAACTGAAGGAAGAAGAAGAAGCCCCAGCAGAAGGAGAGGAAAGTGAGCTAGCCCCTACAGAAGAACCAACAGACCTTGAGTCTCAAGGTGTCACTGAGGAGGGCAGCGTGGCATCGGTTTCGGCGGAAGGAGGCGTGGAAAGTGAGGAGGAATCAGAATCATCACGCAGTAGTAGCAGTAGTAGCGAAAGTCAGTCGGGAGGCCCATGGGGCTTCCAGGTGCCAGAGTATGACAGAAGCAGGGATGCGAGCCAAAAGAAGCCCGCAGGAGCAAACTCGGAAGGTTACAACACAGCACTTTAAACGAGATCACAGTAGGTGGGAGTTTTGCAGTGATGAGTGCTCTTGTGTGCAGTGCCTTCTGTGTGTTCTCTGAAATGACACTTGAAGGGGAGGAAATGCATCATGATTTTGACCTGACTTAAGATTAGAAACATGCCAGAAAAGTGAATATATATGCTATTCAAATCAATGTGTATATCAGAGTATAGGGTTAAAGAGACTCATCCTTCCTATATTATTTAATTTGAAAGACATGCAACCAGTTAATCAATAGTTAATATTTTCTAGTGCGATTTCTGTTAATGCTATGTGGCATTATGTATTACAAGGATTCCTCTTTACTGGAATGTATTGGATGAATACATATTGTGGTTTTTGTATCATTTCTAAAAAAAATAACTCTAAGACAAGCTGCAACAAATGAAGTGTCTACTTTTATACTTTTGCATATATGTACATTTCAACTGGCAAAGGCATTATCATAAATATCTTGAACAGGTTCAAATAAATTTGTAGTTGGCATGTTCAAATATTAGAAGTTAAATGAAATAAAATTAAAAAAATAAATTTCCTACTATTTCTTTTCTATTGTGGATATGAGTTAAAGTGAATTTAGAAAAAAGTTAAAAATTGTAATGAGCATTATATAATATTCATAGGTAAGTCAATGTAATAATCTTAAAATATATACCTGAAAGTGAAAGTGCATGTTTTTTTAGTGCAATGTGCTGGTGGTTCCCATATCCTGAAAATACAATACTGTTGAGAATAACCTTGCATTGTTTAAGCTTTGCTCCTTGCCATTTCTAATGTGGAATGATAAGAGAAAAATAAATTTGCAATAATGCCCATTGTGTTCCAGTTGCTTACAAAGGGAAAGCTTATAATAACTAGTTTTCAGCTTTGTGTATTGCTAAATATTATCAGGATGGGAAAATATTTTATTTTAAGTTTACATATTTCAATGAGATGACCCATAAAATCAGGACACTTCAATGGAATAAAAGTACCAAATCATACCCAAAAAAGTAATTAAGAATGAAGGATTAATTAGGAATCAGAATAATGTGGGTTTAAAAGTATCTTTAAAATATTGTGATGGAAGTATTAATATGAACAAAATATAACAATGTGGTGTGTTCCTTTCAATTTAACTTTCCTGGATAGTACAGCAACTGTCAGACAATGGATACGATCCTTAGTCAGATATAAATAATATACCTTTTTCTCCTTTCAGAGCAGCAATTTTATCTGAAAGAATACATGTGCTCCCCAAAATAAATGTCTACTTCCTAACTCAGCAACACTTTCTCCAGAAGTTATTAAACTCTAAAATCAATAAAGAATTGCTGGGAAAGAAACTGTTGTTAATAAAGAGTCGTTTCCTCCTACCTCTTTTGACTTATATACCTTTGCTCTCTTTCCAGCAAAGGTTTGGAACTGCACAGGCATTGTTATCTTGCCCTTTTTATTCTCTTGATAATATCTCATACACTTTTTTTTTTTCTATTTTGACAGTGGGCAAGAAAAAGAATGATCAAGTTAGTTGTCGATCGAGATTATGAAACTAGCTCAACTGGAGAAGACAGTGCTCCTGAATGTCAGAGAAACCGTCTTCACAACCCTAATATCCACAGTAATATTAATGGCAATATATACATTGCACAGAATGGTTCTGTGGTGAGAACCCGCCGTGCCTGCCTCACCGACAACTTTAAAGTCACTTCCCCTGTCCGCCTGGGGAGGCATTTTAAGAAACTAGACAAGTTGGCAGTAACACATGAGGAGAATATCCCCCTGAACACTTTATCAAAGGGGCCATTTTCTACTGAGAAAATGAACACGAGACCAACCCTGGTTACGTTTGCCCCTTGCCCATTGGGGACTGACAGTACCACGGTGAAGCCATTGGGGAACAAGTTGAAAAGCACAGTCGAACAGGAGTCCACAGTTGACAATAAGAACAGCAAGGAAGCTTTGGAACTGCATAGTGACCACACACAGTCAGATGAGGAGGAGCTCTGGATGGGCCCCTGGAACAACCTCCATATACCAATGACAAAACTGTGACAGATTTTTTAAATGTTATTTTGATTTTTACTTTAGTTTTTAATAAACTGTGCTTTTTATTGTCACTGAGAAAACAATGTATGGAATTTTTATCATGCGCACAAGCTAAAACTTTGATGATATGCTTTAAAATTTAAAAATTGACAGATTTGCACTCACATTTGTATCAATTAATTGTTCTTCCCAGAAAATCTTTTTGGAAAGACTCTTAATTCTCCTGATAACATACCATTTAAACATTTAGCTGTCTTACTGGGTCATGAATTTTTTTTCATTTTAATAAATAAGAAATAATTTACTAAGTAATCATACTTTTTTGGTTAGCATAAATCACTCATCATCTCTAGGTTCACAGAACTTTTTTAGTATATGTCATTTTACTTTTTATTAAAAAATGGAAAAATTTTGCATTAGAGGATTTTATAGGTAACAGGTTTATACAATTGCTGTCTATATCATCTTGATTTTTTAAATGGAAGATAGAATTACAAAATGATAGGAAATGTGGAAATCTATAAATGATTTAGAATCACAGTCCATTTTCCTTAATGTCCAGTATAAAGTTTTTTTTGTTTTTACATATGTATATGTTGACCTTTTAAGAAACTCTTGAAGTCATGTCTCTTTTATAAATATCATTTACGATTTCACCTGGTGTCGCACCCACCACACATACACTTTCCACAGACATTCTATACATACCAAACATAACAGGTAATTTTGTTTAGATATCTGAAGTTAAATAATTATTTGGAGCATCACAGAAATCTCTTGCTCAGCAAAATTTTACTGAAGTAGAAGAGGATCAAATTGACAATAATGCATCTAGAACCCCAATTTTGGTATGAAAGATGTAGTAAAATCAGAACAGGTTCACATTAATGTCACTGGACATGAATATTTTATAAACTGGATATAAAGAAACTTGGCAAGTTCAAGAATTTACATAATGTATGAAATGCCTTTAAAGGTTATAAATCCATAACTTCTAATGCATTATAGTATATGACTTCTCCCAGCTCCAGTTTATTTATAGAATATTTTAATATGTATACTATTTACACACATAAGACACAACAAGAAAATGATAATGGACATCTTTTAAGTCAAAGAACAAATCTTGATTGTTTACCACTGAACAAAGCACAGTGTTTCACCATCAACATAAATTAAAACAAAGCATCCTTTTAAAAATTCCCCCAAATTTGCCTTGTGTGTTGCATTCTTTTCTGTTATAAAGAGGGTGAAGAATATAGTTTAAGAGAATTCTGAATTCTATTGAGTATGACTTAGTATGCTATAGATAGAACTCACCTCAAATATTGCACAGTATTGACCAAGTTTAGATTTAAATAAACTTCTCTCATGCATGCTTACTTATATGGCTGGAAGACTGAATAATGCTCTATTATTTATTTTGCTCTCACATGTTTCATATTTTAAAAATAGTCCATTATATGTTATTTCCTTATTTCCAAAGTGAATGAATTTATGTAATATAATCTTGTCAACTTATAGGAGTAGTATGTTTTAATTTCAGGTTTCAAAAAGTATTTGAGATCAAATACAGTAACATCTCATTTATCTGACATTATTTAAAATTAATGCTTTCATGCTAGAAAACTATCAGCATTAACTGGGAGCTTATTAGAAATAATAGAATCTTGCCCACACTTTCAGGTCCACTAAAGAATCCATGTTCTTATAAGATCTCAAGTATGTTTATAGGCCTATTAAATTTGGAGAAGTAATTATCTATATCTATATCATTGAACTCTAGGGCTTACTCGTTGAAGCACCAAAGCATTTGTTTTTAGTATAAAATATTTTGAATAGAAGTTAGATTAAGCATATTATACTTTTGTACTTGCTTAGTCAGAGATCACTAAATATAGTTTCATATTTTCCTGATGTTCCAAGATCATATCAACTAGTGTCCCATGAGATTTTCTTTGCATACAGATTAATTAATTGATTTTTCTTTTTCCAAATTCAGGCTATGGTATTTAATTCTGTCACTGCCTCTCTCTAAAATTTATTTTCTAGTTTAGTTCTAACCTCCTGGAGAGAAAGTTTGTCTGTTTGTGAGTTTTGCTTGTTATTTAAGAAATCATTAAACCTGAGCTAGGAACTAGGTACGTGGATTCAAAAAAATCAAAGTTTTGTGATTCACAGAAGCTTTTTGGGGGTCACTACTGATGTCTAAGCATTGTTCTAGAAATCTGAATTTAGCAAAAGACTAATGCCCTAGTATATGAGATGTCACTGTATTTTAAAGTTCAGTTTCACAATATAATATGCAAAATAGTATAAGCTACTCAGCAGACATATTTCAGCAATTTCAAGTATATCATTTTAGTCAAAGCAATCATAAAGTTAATCTGTCCCTAAGTTAGTGGAGATAGTATGAAGATAAGCAGTGTTTACACAGAGAAAAAAAGCAAATGTTTGGTCAGTATATTTTGAGGTAAAGTATACTCAGCAGCAAAAACATTATCAGCTAATTACTGTATTTTGCTGTGTATAATGCACACTTTTTGGCCCAAATTTTCAAGGAAAAAATAAGGATGCTCATTATACATGGATAGTACTAATTCTGTAACTATATAAATGTTTTTATTCTTTTGTTTATGCTTATGTGTTAAAAGTGTAACTCAAGAAAACAATAACAATATGCATATGCAAAATAATACTATGGAATACAATAAGTTTTGCTTTTAAATATAAATAAGTCAGTTATTGAATTTAAAAAATTAAAATGAAAGATATTTTTCCTGAAAGTTTGGCCCAAAAGCCTGGGAGTGCATTGTACACCAGAGCATTTACATGGCAAAATATGGTACATAAATCTGGATTAATTGAACAGTTACTTTGAAAGGATTTTCACTGTTCTATAATATTCTGACTCAGGATTAAAGTTGTAGACCCCAGGGGAGATATCCAAATATGTTTAAATACTTCATATAAGTGATGTTTCTATATAAATGTCATGAAGAAATTGGTGTTTATTTTTCCTAAATAAGAAGAGCAATTTTTTGTTGTCGTTCTTGGCACCAACTTTCTAGCAGGCAGTAAAAGTAGCATATCTTGGCTGGTTACAATGAGGATAGACTCACATGACTATAATATTACTAAACCTGTTGTTTTCAAGAGAAGGTCTCATAAACATGAAGGGCAAGGGGAGGAAAAATAAAACAACAGAGTCAAGATGACATAGGACATTTGTGACTCAATGACCATCACATCACAGAATACAATATCTCTGTCTAGACTTCTCTTTTTCACTGATTATGGACTCTGAGAGTCATCATAGGATTGTAGCTGTAGGTTGGCCATAACATCTTTTTAAGTCCAGAGAAAAAGTTTGCCTTGAATTTTATATGTGACATGTTGCTCATGTTACTAAACCACATTGATAGCAGGGACATTAAAACATGTTATTTATTTTAAGTGGTTCTTCCAAGTGGGATACGATAGAAATTATTAAAATATTGTTAATTGAATTCATGTATCATAGAGCCAAAAGAAACTGAATATTGATTCCTGAGAAAAGACATTTCCTTTTTTTGTTTTTAATTTCACAAACCCTCCTTTTTCCCTTGTTATGCTTCACTTTATGTACTTTGTATCATAAGTGGGGCTTATATTTCCACTTCAATTACTTAGTGAAATAGGCAGAAAGTCCTAATAATTTATTCTCAGGGCAGATGCCCATTGGTGCCTGAAAATAATAGTGATATGGCTAATGGATAAGTTCAAAATGATATTGAGGACCTCTATTTTTATCAGTAGTTTCTCTTCTCAAATGATACCATGGATTTCTTTGTTTTTCTCCTTATTTTGCATTTGTTTATCTTTTTAATAACAATATTTACTTTTTAGATTTATTTTTTCATCACAACCTACTTTAAATTTACGGTAAGTTAAGCAAATATATGGAAGAATTGAACATTGTCTATAGTTTGGAAAATTATCAAAACATTCACTGCTTTCCCAATTTCTTTATCCAAACACATGTTTTTCCTTAATAAATATTATGTTGCTGTATGAAGAACATGAATTATAACTTTTCAATTCAAATGCATTGTTACTCCCTACACAGTGTTCCGAAAATAAATTTCCATTTAAAATATGATTTCTCATTATTCTGTTGGGTGGGGACGAAAATTAGTAACTATTTTCCCTTTTTCATGTTTAGTATTTCAGTTTGATAATAAAAGAACCTTCTTTGCAAACTCTTATCTTTAAACAATGTGAGTGACTTATTTTAAGCTCATTATTCTTTATGCATTTCAGTCATGTATATCATGTACAAGTCACGAAGTTCAAGTCACCTGTTTCCTAACATACTGCTTATCTATTTATTTTTTAAAAAATGATAATCATATAAACACTAATGTTATGTTATGTTAAAAATGCTAAATGGGACCTGGCTGGTGTGGCCCAGTGGATTACGTACTGGCCTGCTAACCAAAGGGTTGTGGTTCAATTCCCAGTTTAGGGCACATGACAAGGTTGTGGGCCAGGTCCCCAGTGTGTGACATGCAAGAGGCAACCATACATTGATGTTTCTCTCCCTCTCTTTCTTCCTCCCTTCCCCTCTCTAAAAGTAAAGAAATAAAATCTTAAAAAAAAAAGCAATCCTAAATGATAGCAAAGCATGAATATATCAAGAAGCATGGTCAAAATAAATCTACACTATGTTTTTTAACATGATTATCTGAGGCTTTAAAGATTTGTAATTAGATTCATAATTCATATCTACCTATCCCTTCATCCATTGACCTATCTATATGAAATCTGCTCATATTTCCCTGGCCACATGCAACTTAACTTTATAATGCAGCTGATGATGACATAATAATTTTAATTTTTTTAATCTAAAACAGGATTGAGAGGAATAAATTTTCAAAAACAAGCAACTTGTGTACAGAAAGAATTCTTAGCCCTTTGACCTTTTGCTCTTCACATTGTAAAATAGAAATGTATTTATCCCTGTCTTTCCAGAGTCTACACACTTCCTTGTATAAACAACAGCTGTTGAGAAAGAAGTTGCAATAAATAGAATGAATTCATTCTTGCCCTATCAGTGAATACCTTGGGCATGCCATTTTATAATTTACTCTATTAGTGAATGGCAATGA